GCTTTACCTAGGGCTTATTTGGTTTAGTTTTTGGAGTCTGCAGGCCTGGATCTGCTCTGTCTTTGCTTTCATTGAAACCACATAGAGAGTCTTTCCACAATATTAGTGTAATGTGACAGTAAGTAGTGTAAACGTATTTATAGTCATTCAGTTAGCAGATTTTACTAAATGCCCACTGAGGCCAACTTCTGTTTTAGACCTGGGGGTATATGGAAATGGGAGATGGGGGAGAGGAATGGGTAAAGAAGGCATCTTAGAAAAAGTGAAACATAAGCTGAGATCTGAAAAATGAGTAGAAAATAGCCTAAAGCAGAGAAAGGAGCCAATATGGGTCTGGAGGAGAAGACCGGAAGGTATTGATACAAGGCAGGGACATTGTAAATCATGTTGGGAGAGCTGACTTGATTCTCGGTACCAGGAGAAGCTGACTTTTTCAAGAATCACTCTGGTAGTGAGGTTGGGAAATGGACTGTAGAGGGGTAAGAGGTGTGGAGATCACCATTTAGGACATTGTTGCACTAATTCTGGTGAAAGATAGGAATGGGGGATTTGGACTAAGTGGAGTTAATGCTTGTGGAGATGGAGAGAAAGAAATGGATGGATGCAATAAAGATTTAAGAAGCCAAATGGACAAGACTTCATTGGACATTGGGGTGAGAAAGAGGAATATTTTCAGGGGGTTTTTTTTGGTTTAGATACCTAGGTGTATGCTGGTATCTAAAATAGGGAAGTAATGGTAATAGCAGAGTTTTGGTGTGTGTGGGGGGTGATCATTAGTTCAGTTTTGGACATGTTGAGTTGGTATCTGAAAGGAGAAACTCTATTTCTTCTTTTTCTCTCTACACTTAAACCAATACTCTGGCTGCCCAATGTGTGTGTGTGTGTGGGGGGGGGGGGGGGGGGCGGTTCCCTACACCAAGCAGTTCTGTAATTCTCTGAGACACCAACTGGGTGGCCTACAATTCTGATGTTATACACCTAGAGTTAGCATTAGATCCTACAGATTAAGGGCTCAGTCCCACAAGACTTCCTGCTTCACCACTGTCCTCAAGTTATCCACAGTTTCGTCTGAGTTGACTACAAATCGGGAGTTTGCATGATCCTTTCTTTGTGTTCAATCATTTGGTAGAACATCTAGTTTATTTACTAGACTAGAGGCTCAGTGCACAGATTTGTGCACTGGTGGGGTCCCTCAGCCTAGCCTGTGCCCTCTTGCAATCTGGGACCCCTCGGGGGATGTCGGAGGCCCAGTGCACAGATTTGGCCCGATTCCTACAGGCCAGGCTGAGGGACCCCACCGGTGCACGAATCTGTGCACCAGGCCTCTAGTATGCATATAAGATCTTTGGTTAATCTCTTCCCACCCTCCCCCCTTCCCTCTGAGATTCATCAGTCTGTTCCATGTTTCCATGCCTGTGCGTTGAGCATCTGCCCCCTGGTGGTCAGTGCGCATCATAGTGAACTGCCGAACGGTCGCTTAGGCTTTTATATATATACTAGAGGCCCGGTGCACAAAAATTTGTGCACTCGGGGGGGGGGGGGGGCGGTCCCTCAGCCTGGCCTGTGCCCTCTCACAGTCTGGGACCCCTCAGGAGATAACGACCTGCTGGCTTAGGCCTGCTCCCGGGTGGCAGAGGGCAGGCCTAATCCTTAGGTGCAGCCCCTGGTCAGGCTCAGAGCAGGGCCAATTGGGGAGTTGGGGCGCCGCCCCCTGTCATGCACAGAGCAAGGTGGATTGTGAGGATGCGATGCCACCCTCAGTCATGCTCAGGGTAGGGCCGATTGGGGGGTTGGGGCACCGCCCCCTGTCACACTCAAGGCAGGGTCGATGGGGAGGTTGTGGCGCCACCCCCTGTCACGCACAGAGCAGGGCCAATCAGGGGGTTGGGGAGCTCCCCCCTGTCACGCACAGAGCAGGGCACATCAGGGTGTTGGGGAGCAGCCCTCTATCACCCACAGAGCAGGGCCGATCAGGGGGTTGGGGCGCCGCCACTGTCACACTCAGGGCAGGGCCGATGGGGAGGTTATGACTCTACCCCATCACACACAGAGCGGGGCCCATGGGGGCGGGGGGGGGGGCGCCACCCTCTATCACCCACAGAGCAGGGCCGATCAGGGGGTTGGGGCGCTGCACCCTGTCACACACAGAGCCGCAGGTTGATCAGGGGGTTGGGGAGCTCCCCCCTATCAGGCATAGAGCAGGGTTGATCAGGGGGTTGGGGCGCCTTCCCCTGTCATGAATAGAGCAGGGCAGATAGGGAGGTTGTGGCCCCGCACCCTGTCACACACAGAGCCGCAGGGCGATCAGGGGGTTTGGGCACTGCCCCCTGTCATGCTGATCCCGGTGCCCGGAGGCCTCGCGGCTCCGCTGTTCCTGGTGCTGGGAGGCATATTACCCTTTTACTATATAGAATAGAGGCCTGGTGCATGGGTGGGGGCTGGCTGGTTTGACCTGAAGGGTGTCCTGGATCAGGGTGGGGGTCCCCACTGGGGTGCCTGGCCAGCCTGGGTGAGGGGATGATGACTGTTTGCAGCTGGTCACACACCCTTCATGGTGGGGGTCCCCACTGGGGTGCCTGGCCAGTCTGGGTGAGGGGCTGAGGGCTGTTTTCAGGCTGGGACTGAAGCTCCCAACTGGTCCTTTTTTTCTTTTTTTTCTTTTTTTAATTCTGGGCCAGCTTTAGCTCTGGGGCTCCAGCTCTTAGGCCTCCTCTCCTGAAAGCAGGTATCTGGTTTGTTTTGGTTCTATAATCGAAACCTGTATCAACTCCAGCTCTGAGATCCCAGCCGGCTGAAAACTGGTTTCTGGGGTTTTGTTTAGCTTCTATATTCGTTACAATGTTTCTTAAACTGCAAGCTCAGAGGCTGGCAAGGCAGGCGGGGAACGTTGCAGTCCTCCGTCACTGAAGCAAGCAAGCCTCATGTTAGTTGCAAGCTGCCTGGCTGCCGGCCGCCATCTTGGCTGGCAGTTAATTTGTATATCACCCTGATTAGCCAATGGGAAGGGTAGCGGTCGTATGCCAATTACCATGTTTCTCTTTTATTAGGTAGGATATAGATTACTGGTTTATTTTAAAATGATACAACTCAGGAACAGCCAGATGGAAGAGATGTATAGAGCAAGGTATGTGGGAAGGGGTGCGGAGCTTCCATGCCCTGTGCCTGCAGCCCAGTGTGTTTACTAACCCAGAAACTCTGAAAGCCAACATTTAGGGATTTTTATGGAAGCTTTGTTATGTGGGCATTATTGATGAAATCATTGCCATTAACTCAGCCTCCAGCCCTCTCCCGTCCCAGAGTTGGAGGTGGAGAATGTAAGTTTCAACCTTCTAATCACTGGGTTGGCTCCCCTGGCAACCAGCTCCTCAAAGAGGCTTGTGATAAATAACAAAAGACACTCCTTTCACCTTTATCTCCCTTACAAAATGTGGGACCCCTGCTGTAGATTTTGGGTACATAGTGGGCTAAATGCTGGTACACTTCTCTAGTGAGGTCTGTAGATTGGAAATTTCAAGAGTTTTATCAAAGATCTGCCAGCAATGGGAAAAAGGCCAAATTTCCTATATAATAAAAGGCTAATATGCAAATCGACCAAACAGCGGAACAACCTGTCGCTTTGATGCGCTCTGACCACCAGGAGGCAGATGCTCAATGCAGGAGCTTCCCCCTGGTGGTCAGTGCGCTCCCACAGGGGGAGCGCCACTCAGCCAGAAGCTCTGAGCCGGGCTCAGGGCTCGCAAGCGCAGTGGCGGTGGCGGGAGCATCTTCCACCTCCATGGCAGCGCTAAGGATGTCCAACTGTGGCTTAGGCCCACGTGGGGAGCGGGCCTAAGCCATCAGTTGGACATCTTCCAAGGGCTCCCAGACTGCGAGAGGGCACAGGCCAGGCTGAGAGACCACCCCCTCCCACCCTGAGTGCATAAATTTCATGCACTGGGCCTCTAGTATATTATAAATAATAATATCACAGTACCCATTTGCTATCAGTATAATTATCAAAGGTAGTTGAACATAAAAGTTTGGGAACAGACCTGACTGGTTTGGCTCAGTGGCTAGAGCGTCGGCCTGCGGACTGAAGGGCCCCAGGTTTGATTCCAGTCAAGGGCATGTGCCTTGGTTGTGGGCACATCCCCAGTGGGAGGTGTGCAGGAGGCAGCTGATCGATGTTTCTCTCTCAACAATGTTTCTGACTCTCTATCCCTTTCCCTTCCACTCTGTAAAAAATCAATAAAATGTATTTTTTTAAAAAAGATTGGGAACAAAAACGTGGCTGTTTTTGGTTTGTTTATTGCAGGGAGAAGGAAGAGGAAAGGGCTTATAGTGAGGTTGATCAGGGAAAGAAGCCATATCGGTGAAACAAAGTCTCTTGTGGACTGATATTCATAAGAGTGGCATGTCATCTCATATTAATCAATCGAAAATATAAGTAATGTATTGGCTGTTGATGTTCACTACATGCTGTTCCTGTCGGCAAACTGATAAAGAGAATTCAAATCACAGTCATAATATCAGGGTAATCGCTTCATAAGGTATATAAATGCCTAATCACTATGTTGTGACCTGACACTAATATAATGTCTCTTGAATGTAATTGAAAATAATTTATTAAAGAAATTGAAAAAAATTTTTTTGAACAAAGCATTAGAAATGAATGGGCTCAGTAGCTAGTGATTTATATGACAATTTGATGTGGTCATTTTCCTGTACTGCCTACAGAAGATTGCTTCTAGATTTGAGGAAGAAGGGCTCCTTTCACTTTAATTTTACTTTCACTTTAATTTTACTTTCACTTTAAGTAGAATTCTAAAATAGTTTGGATTTGGTTTTAAATTTTGCCCTTTTTTGGAAAGAAGACATTCAGTGATGAGTGTTGTCAACAGAATAATTTATAAGACTCTTACCATTATTTTTGTACCTAAAAGAAAATAGAGTAGATTTATTCAAATTAGTAGTTTATTGACATTGTTTAAAACATTTTTTTCTTTTTTCTTTGTTTACAGAAATGGCTGCAGTCTACTGACCTCACTAGAGAAGTATACCAGCATTTAGCCCACTATGTACCCAAAATCTACTGCAGGGGTCCCAACCCTTTTCCACAGAGAGAAGACATGCTGGCACAGCTTGTCTTATTGGGACCAATGGAATGGTACATTTGTGGTGAAGATCCTGCATTTGGATTTCCAAAACTTGAACAAGCAAACAAACCTTCTCATCTTTGTGGTCGTGTTTTTAAAGTAGGAGAGCCTACTTACTCTTGCAGGTAAAATATTGTCATTCTCTTTATAAAAGGCTCTTGTTTTTATTTGACTTTTTTTCCTCCTGAAAACTTATATCTTTGTGTTAAATTGTGAAGTATAATATGTGCGTGTGTGTACACAGCAGGTATATGCAGTATAATAAGTAATTATGAAACAAACATTCATGAAATTATTTTCCAGGTCAAGAAGTAGAACATCTCCAGCATCCTAGAAACCCACTGTATGCTTTCTTCCTACCCCATAATTAACTGCTACCTTGACTCTTGTAATAATCACTTTCTTGCTTTTCTTTTAAATATATTTTTATTGATTTCAGAGAGGAAGGGAAAGGGATAGAGAGATAGAAACATCAATGATGAAAGGATCATTAATTGGCTGCTCTTGTATGCCCCACACTGGGGATTGAGCCTGCAACCTAGGCATGTGCCCTGACTGCGAATTTAACTGTGGCCTACTGGTCATAGGTTGGCGCTCAACCACTGAGCCAAACTGACTAGGGTGGTCCTTTTCTGATCATTTTTCAGTTACAGTGATTCTTTTTGATGTTTGTATTATCCCAGATATGTGGAAGCCCCATCACACTAGCATCTTTATCCTTTTTAAATGCCTTCATTAGTGTTTGAATACTTCTTTGATTTCTGTCTCAAGATATCCAAACAACCCACCATTTATTACTCTGACCCATATGCAGAATCATGTTACCGACCAAACTGGATCTGAATGCTCAGTAGTTGCCAGCAAAAAGATGATTTTATGAGATGGAACTTTGCCGGGAGCCAGACCGGCTCCCGGCAGAACTTTATTGTGAGCCAGCAAGCAAGGACAAGTATATAATCCATATTTATTAGGGGAAATCATGCACTAGCATCAAGGTAGACTTAGTAATTGTATGTATAGGTAGGGACATGCCAGCGCTTGTGCAGTTAGGAAACATGCTTAAACATACATTGCACGTTCAAAAATGATGGGAAATCTCTGCAAATCTACCCCTGGGTGGAGATTTTGTGTTTTAATGAGGAAAGTTCACATGGAGGTCACTGAAGGGTTCTTCAGGCTGCTCCAGACAGTCTCAGGTGATTTTAGCTGGTTCACCCCCTGGTCCTGCAAAATATCCTGGGCTTGATCCTGAAAAACATTAGTAGCAATCACCAACATCAGGGATTGTATAGGTATGGATAAACATCTAAGTTTTGATTTTTCTGTGAAACTTTCAGCAAACTTTAAAGATAGTGTTGCACAAACCTTATAAATTTTAGAGTGACCTAGTCAGGGTCATAGGTTATTCGAGGCAGTGTTTCCTTTTAGTTGGGAATGGTAGGTAGGAACCAAGATATGGAGGGTTAGTGAGGGACGACCAAATGACTGAACAGCAGGCTGCGTGGGGTGACCAGGCCAGCGGGAGGGGCAGTAAGGGGCACCCAGGCTAGAGATGGGGGGTCAATTGGGGGCAACCAGGCCGGCGGGTGAGGGGTAGTTGGGGACAACCAGGCTGGCAGGTGGGGGGGGGGGGGGCGGAGTTGGAGGTGACCAGGCTGGCAGGGGGCGGGCAGTTAGGGGCAATCAGGCCAGCAGGCAGAGGCGGTTAGGGGTGATCAGGATGGCAGGCAGGTGAGCAGTTAGGAGCCAGTGGTCCCGGATTGTGAGAGGGATGTCCGACTGCCGGTTTAGGCCCGGTCCCCGGGATTAGGCCTAAACCAGCAGTCGGACATCCCCTGAGGGGTTCCAGATTGGAGAGAGGGTGCAGGCTGGGCTGAGGGGACCCCCTGCCCCCCGCACATGAATTTCATGCATAGGGCCTCTAGTCCTATCTAATAATAGACAAGCATGGTAATTAACCATACCTCCGACACACTTCCCATTGGCTAATCAGGGTGATATGCAACTTAACTGCCAACCAAGATGGCGGTTAACCGCCAACCAAGATGGCGGCTAATTTGCATACTACAGGCAGGGTGGTACAGCGTTATCCCACCTGCCCCGCTGCCATCCGGACCTGCTATCTGCGACCCGGGCAGCAGCAGCCTGTATGGGACCTGATCCAGGGCTGGCCGGCGGGACCACAGCGATCTGCCACCAGACACGCCCACAAACGGCCCTCCCGTGGGGATCCCTGGCTGGTGGGTGCTGATGAACCAATCAGCCACTGGCCACACCCACAAACGGCCCTCCCGCGGGGATCCATGGCTGGCAGGTGCTAATGCACCGATCAGCCACCGGCTGCGCCCACAAACGGCCCTCCCGCAGGGATCCTAGGTTGACGGGTGCTAATGCACCGATCCTCCACTGGCCACGCCCACAAACGGCCCTCCCGTGGGGATCCCGGGTTGGCGGGTGCTAATGCATACCCGGGCCGCCTTTGCCCTGTGCATACTATGCAGCTGGGAGAGGGCGGGAACTGCCCAGGGTTTGTGTTAGGCGGCCGAGAGCAGAGTGCAAACTATCCCGACCAGTAGCTGCTTGCTCATTCACTTACTTGCTCATTCATTCACTCATTCACTCACTAAGCAAACCCTCTCAGGTCCCTGGCACCAGGCCAGGCACTGAAGGTGAAGCAGGATAAGACAGAGCTCTGCCTTCAAGATGTTAGTAATTCAGTATGCAGCCAGGAGAAGGGCACCGGGCCTCTGGGAGCAGGGTGGGAACTTTCCCGGGGTGGGCTTCAGGCAGCCGAGAGTGGGGCTGGAAGTTCTGCCGTGTTGCCATAGCAACATGGCAGAAGTTCCCGCCCCTTAGCTGCTTGCTAATTCACTTAATCGCTCACTCATTCACTCATTCACTCACTCAGCAAACCCTCTCAGGTCCCTGGCACCAGGCCAGGCACTGAAAGTGAAGCAGGATAAGAAAGAGCTATGCTCCCAAGATGTTAGTAATTCAGTAGGGCGAAGCAGGCACATGAATGAGGCAGTTGTATGCACGGATGCACTGTTGAATTCGGTGAGGGTGTAACTAACGCCGACTTTGTTCTCTTGATAAAATGGGGCCTCGGGAGCCAGGCCACCCCAAGCCTGTAGGCCTGTGCCTAGGCCAGGAGTGGCCGGAGTCCAGGAACATGACAGAGGGTGCAGGTCGGGCTGAGGGGTCTGGCCCCAACCCTCACCCTCACCCCCGAGTGCACAAATTTTTGTGCACGGGGCTACTAGTCCTATCTAATAAAAGAGAAACATGGTAATTGGCATACGACCGATACCCTTCCCATTGCCTAATCAGGGTGATATGCAAATTAACTGCCAGCCAAGACGGCGGCCGGCAGCCAGGCAGCTTAAACTGAACATGAGGCTTGCTTGCTTCAGTGACGGAGGACTGCAGCGTTCCTCGCCTGCCTTGCCGGCCTCTGAGCTTGCAGTTTAAGAAACATTGTAACAAATATAGAAGCTAAACAAAACCCCAGAAACCAGTTTTCAGCCGGCTGAGATCTCAGAGCTGGAGTTGATACAGAGTTTCGATTATAGAACCTAAACAAACCAGATACCTACTTTCAGCAGCTGAGGCCTCAGAGCTGGAGCCAAGCCTCAGAGCTAAAGCTGGCCCAGAATTAAAAAGAATAAGAAAAAAAGGAGCAGTTGGGAGCTTCAGTCCCAGCCTGAAAACAGCCCTCAACCCCTCACCCAGACTGGCCAGGCACCCCAGTGGGACCCCCACCATGAAGGGTGTGTGACCAGCTGCAAACAGCCATCATCCCCTCATCCAGGCTGGCCAGGCACCCCAGTGGGGACCCCCACCCTGATCCAGGACACCCTTCAGGTCAAACCAGCCAGCCCCCACCCATGCACCAGACCTCTATTCTATGTAGTAAAAGGGTAATATGCCTCCCAGGACCGGGATCAGCGGAGCCAACAGGCCTCCCGGCACCGGGATCAGCGTGACAGGGGGCAGTGCCCAAACCCCCTGATCACCCTGCAGCTCTGTGTGTGACAGGGTGCGGGGCCACAACCTCCCTATCGGCCCTGCTCTTTTCCTGACAGGCAAGGTGCCCCAACCCCCTGATCAGCCCTGCTCTGTGCCTGATAGGGGGGAGCTCCCCAACCCCCTGATTGGCCCTGCTCTGTGCGTGACAGGGGGTGGCGCCACAACCTCCCCATCGACCCTGCCTTGAGTGTGACAGGGGGCGGTGCCCCAACCCCCCAATCGGCCCTACCCTGAGCGTGACTGAGGGTGGCATCGCAACCTCCCGATCCGCCCAGCTCTGTGCATGACAGGGGTGGCGCCCCAACTCCCCAATCGGCCCTTCTCTGAGCCCGACCAGGGGCTGCACCTAGGGATTGGGCCTGCCCTCTGCCACCCAGGAGCAGGCCTAAGCCAGCAGGTCGTTATCTCCGGAGGGGTCCCAGACTGTGAGAGGGCACAATCCGTGCTGAGGGACCCCCCCCCCCAAGTGCACAAATTTTTGTGCACCGGGCCTCTAGTAGATATATAAAAGGCTAAGTGACCGACTGGTAGCTATGACGTACAGTGACCACCAGGGGCAGATGCTCCGACTGGTAGCTCTGATGTGCACTGACCACCAGGGGGCAGACACTCAACGCAGGAGATGCCAAGCTGTGGTGACTTGGCAGGGGCGGTTCTTGGGTGATACACCCCGGAATCAGAGAGGAAGACACCCAATTCTGGGGTGTGTCACCCAAGAACTACCCTCTAGCAATGGGACCCCTCGGAGGATGTTGGAGAGCCAGTTTCGGCCCGATCCCTGCACGCCAAGCCGAGGGACCCCACCTTCCGGAGGGACCCCGCTCACTCTGCAGATGCCCTTCAAGCCGCTGCACCACTCCAGGGAGGGACTGTGGGAGGTTGGTTCCAGGGCATGTCCAGCCTGTCTCCCACCCCGCTGGCCACCTTCTGATTAATTTTAATGTGTATGAATTTGTGCACTGGGGCACTAGTGTAAATATAATTATCTAATACATACATATATGCAAACATACATACAAAAGAGAGTATGTTATAGATACTCGGCTAAATTTTCCCTTCTCTGTTTAACAAATATTGACATCTGTTCATATTAGCT